GAGCTCTTAACCAACTGAGCCACTCGGCCGGCCCTCAACATTTGTGTTCCTAATACCATAAAACTACGTCTTAGGTATTTTTCTTTTTGAATTTTTAAAAATTTTTATTTATAAAGATCAAATATCTTATTATAGAACACTGGAAAGCACAAAAGATTTCAAAAAGCCAAATTACTCACAGGCCCACAATACAAAAACTACCACTGCTAGCATTAATTTTTTTTTTTCGGAGGGGGAGATATTAATGTTTTTATATACTTGTGATTATACAGCATATACAAAGTAAAACTATCATTTTATAAATTTTAATATAAAAATGCCATACTTCAGTTGAAAATGTGAGAGACACAAAGTGATTTGAAAGAAAAAAATGAAAATGACCCCAAATTTTAAATCAAGTGATAACCAAAGATGTCAAACTTGTGCATTTTACTGTTGATTTTGTTACTTTTTGACACTTTTTATTCTAATTTTCTGAGCAATCATGCTGCTTTTAAATCTAGTTAACACAGTGCTCATATAGATTTCATACGGAAAAAAATAAAGAGATGCCTGATATCAGGTATGAATTCACAGGGTACTTTATTAGTCTTCCAATTTAAAAATCCTAATAGCTTAGATAATTAAATTTTCATTTTAAGCTACACACTTTTTTTACTCAAGTTTCCATACTATAACATAAGACAATTAGGATTTTTTTTTTGCTCATATGCTATTGTAGATGAAAAATATACTTTTTAATAGCAATTTTCCTATGTAATTTTTAGACATGTTAAAAAATATACTAAAGGTTTAACCATTGCTCCAAGTACAAGAATACAATAGATAGTAAAACTTTGTTTGAATTGTTTATCAGATAAAGTAAGAAATTTTAAATGAAGTTACGAGTTATGTCACAAGAAAAATATTATTAGAAACTGGGAGAGATCACAAGTAGAATAAGATTATTAATTGCAAAAAAAAATCCTTTGTGTACATGCATTCCACTTGTATATGGTTGTTTTACTTAATAAAGCAAATCAGGGTAAACTAGTCTTTTCTCTGTACAATTCCAAACTATTTTAGTTAGTTTCTAAGAATTGGTTTTCAATTTGTTTTAATTTTCAAAATTCTGATTTAATGTTGTTGTTGTTGTTGTTTTTTTCCTGGATTTAGGAAGTTAAATGAAGCTTTATCAGAGCATGATAGTCAGATTCTATTTTAAACTATAAGTGTGCTTTAATCACTATATTTTAAATGCAGTTTGTAGAGTGTAAAGGCTTTTTCTAACTTTTTCATCTCTCATTTACTATCTGGACAGACTAATGTTAAACAGGCTGAACATATAAGAAATGTACACAAGCTAAAATTGTATATGTGCTTTAAAAAAATTAATTGCATTTTATTTTAAAATAATGTGATTTGTTCCAAATTTAGTTTACTTTGAATCTGTTCATCAACAAAATTTACTGCTCCTATTTTATAAACAACAAAATATTTTTGGATCCTTTGTCGAAAATTATCTATCCATATTTATGTGGGTTTATTCCTGCGTTGTCTAATTCTACTCCATTCGTCTGTGAGTCTGTTTTTCTGCCAGTACCATGCTGTTTTGATTATTGTTGCTCTGTAGTACAAGCTAAAGTCAGGAAGTGTGATACTGTCAGCATTATTCTTTTTTCTTAGGATTGCTTTGGCCATGGGGGTGGTAGATGAGGGTAAACGGGGTCAAATATATGGTGATGGAAGGAGAACTGACTCTGGATGGTGAACACACAATATGATATATAGATGATGTAATACAGAATTGTACACCTGAAACCTATGTAATTTACTAACCATTGTCTCCCAAATAAATTGTAATTAAAAAAAAACAAACCCGTAAAAACAACAACAAATAGTGATTTAGTACTTACTTTAAAAAAAAAATTTATAGGTTTAATAAATAAATGGGTAAATGGACATTTACTAAATAAATGTACCCACATATATATGTAAGTTTATGTATGCATATATTTACTTATATGTTTACTATATATAGACAAAGAAAAAAATCAATTATGAAATTATAGATTTTGAAACGTGTGTATTTATATATACACACAACTATAACTATGTAGAATATATGCCTATGATTATACATCAATATATATTTGTGAATTAAAAGTGTTTCAATTTATTAGATAAGAATCACATTCCAACCATCTGTTGGACACTAGGTGTCACTAGAGTAAAGCAGAAATTAACCTAAAAAAAAAAATATTTAAGCTGTTCTAGAATAACTTCAAAGACAAAATATGTAGCAGCGTTTTATTTAAGAATTGCATTTTCTTTATTTTTTAGGATTTATAACTTAAATATGGATTTAGGTGGAAGTGATTATCCCTGACCCAAGTCAGGGGAAAAATCAGATACTAATTTTGCTGATTCAATAAGATCTTGAAGAAAACTAGATTTGTTCTTAAAATTTGAGAGTATTAACATCACGGTGGGCAAACTGCCTGTTTAATATGGACTTTGTATTTTCCTCTCAAACAGCCAGGGTCTTGGAGCAAGAGTAGTAGCTGATAGAAGGTGATCTCAATAAACTGCTCCTTGCTCATAGGGGGCCCTCTAGGCCCAAAGGAAAACAAGCCTTCTGAAGTCACTCTGTCCCACGCTTGGACTTGAAAACTTCTAGTCATGAATACCCTAGGTATTGTGTCTTAGAATATTTTTGCTTATGCTTCACTTTCAGCACAATTTGGTGGGTTTTAATCTTTAAGTACCTATACTCACAGCTTTACATTAGGACTATCTACGGGTATATTGTAACCAGAGAGCTGTTACCAATGATAAAAGTACTTACTTAAAAAGCTCATTTCTGTCGATAGCTCTGTTGGTTTGGGGATCAATTGCATAGACAGTCAAGTCACATTTGCTGTAATCTTCTAGAGAAAAGGCGTCTCCATGCCTGCGAGCACCAATGGACTCCACGACAACTTTGGAACCAGGGATCTGCTCCTGAACATACCGATCCAAAATCCTGTAAATCAAACAAAGTACACACATGACATTCTGACAGGTTTTCGGGGGGAAAAAAAATCACCCTCAACTTGAAATGACATTTAGTAAATGAAAGATGATGACAGCCTGGTTTTTGTTAATGTTTACTGAATGTGCATCTTTGGGGGGGAAAAAAATCTCTATATGTTTTCTTCATGGAACTCCGAATGATGCGGGAAGCTAAATACGGTAGAAAGAGGTCACCAACCACGTCCTATTTATGTCTTAACGGTTTGAATTTATGATACCATTTGAGCTTTTAGGTGGCTCATGGGAAATGCCAACTATGTTGTACAAATAAAGCTGACTGCTTTATAGCAGCCGTGGGATCTTAGGACTCGGAAGTTCCTATGGCTGGTGTTATAATATTTCCATCAGATTCTGTGATACAGAACATGCAGTTCTATGCCAAGGTGCAGAACTAGGATACCTGTTTTCCTAAGGGTATAAAGATCTTTAGAGCATTATAGTGATGGGAGAATGTAGAGATATTTTGCTATGGCAGATTTACCAGGTTAAGATAAAAATATTGCATGAAAATTTCAGAGCTGTTTAGGTGAATACAAACAACCAAAAGATAAATCATTTGGTATAGAATTAGTAACATTCATTGGAAAAAGACAAACAATGTTTATCTATAGGTGATTTTCAGGAAAATACATTTTTTTTTTTGGTAATTACATAACGATTTTAATTGAAAGTACAGATTACTGTATATAAGTATTTGTTTTCTACCTTGTCACAAGTGGCAGTTTCCTTAATGCCTTTTTTCTTATTAAAAACTTTATATTATTAATCTTTGTAGATTAACACTAGAATGCATATTTTAAATATTTATAGACATATAAATGTAAATGAATTAATTTTAATAACTATACACAACAACTATTTTGAAATTTATCTATAGATTCAATGCTCTTTTGGGAGTCCATGCAGGAAGGCACCTTGTGGGAAGGGAGGGGAAATATATTCTAAATCCCGTTGATACATCAGAAAATAACTTCTATTTCAGATGCCAAAATTGAGCTGGTCAATTTCTATAGTCTTCTTTTATATTTCTGTGCAATATTGAAGAATCACATGTGACCTAAAATTTAGGTGTGGAATGATATATATGTACCTGTACTAATTCCTTCATGGTAGCAGGAAAAAAAAATAAATCAATGAAGTCTAAAAATGAATTATGTCATTTAAAACATGTAATAATGTCTTCTCCATGAACATTTTTTCTTAAACATTTAGAGATCTTTTGGGATGAAATATCTCTTATGATAAAGAGATATGTGTCCAAATTTGAGTTCCTTCCATCTTTTTCAGATTAAATATATGTGAAACTAAATTTAATTCTTTTAAAATGAGAACACGTTCTAAAGATCTATCTAACTTTCCACTCAGCATCTATTATCTGTGTACGTAAGCATTTCTATGTATATATGTATATCTTCATTATGTAACATATGTATATAGTTTACATTTTATATATATATATATATATATATATATATATATATATATATATATATGGATATATATAATAATGGATTTTCAGCCCTTGGTCTTCAAATGTACATAGATAGGTACTTGGTTGCTTCCTTTCTAAATATTTTTTTTTAACCTCAGATTTAAANCATTTCTATGTATATATGTATATCTTCATTATGTAGTGTGTGTATATAGTTTACATTTTATATATATATATATATATATATATATATATATATATATATATAAATGGTATTTACTAATAATGGATTTTCAGCCCTTGGTCTTCAAATGTACATAGATAGGTACTTGGTTGCTTCCTTTCTAAATATTTTTTTTTAACCTCAGATTTAAAATAAATACAGCTCTACAGTCACTGACCTTGAATTGATTTACATAAATTAATAAGAATGTTTAAGTTGCCCAATGTTGATATTTTATTTTAAATTATTACTCATGTCAAACCAACTCATACATAAATTTTGGAATTAAATATCATGAGAATCTACTGCATATAAATTCACCAAGAATAAACATATTTTTCCAGCCTGAAGTGCTTGTATGTGACTGATTTATGTTATTATGTCTTTTTGTTTAAAGTCTTTAAAATAGAAAAAAAGCTTCTGTAAGAAACAATATATTAAAATATGTACTAATATATAATAAATTATATACAGTATATATTGTATATTTACATTATATTACATATTAATAGAATTTATATTGTATATAGAAAGATCTATAATGATGTTTCTCTAATCTATAATATATGCATTATATAGATCATCAAGGGAGATGTCTGTAATGTTTATATGATGTCAATGATGCTTAAATTCAGTTGGTATGATTTTGAGTTTACTAAAAAAAGTTTATAAAATTTTTCTTTTTTATATGTTATGGTGTTTGAATTTCTTACAATGGGCAAAATAAAACAATAGTCATAGTTTTAAAAAACTCTTTAATATTCTATATCCTCTTCCCCAGCTTCTTAAGAAAAAAAATCTTTATATAAATCTCTATTTTCAAAGCTTGAAAATGTAGTAAATTAGATTGGACTCAGTTGTCTAATAAAGTAGCAACAAAACTCAGGTAACTGTTAAGTGGAAAGATTTTCTTTTCTTCTTTTCCTCCTTCCCTCCCTCCCTCCCTTCCTTCCTTCCTTCCTTCCTTTCTTCCTTCCTTTCTTCCTCCCTCCTTCCCTCCCTCTTAACAGATATTTACTGAATGCACACCATGGACCAGGCACTGTTCCACACACTTCTGATATATCAGCGAACAGAACAAAGACTTATGACACCACAGAACTTGCATTCTAATTAAGGCAGACAGACAATAGAATAATAAAATTGTTAAGAGTGTTCAGGAAAAGTGTCATTGAAAAGTTGATATTTGAGCAGGCTTTCGGGAGACAATGAGTGACATGGACATTCTCAGTAAGAGTGTTCCAGGAAGAGGGAATTGCTTACAGCTTGTGCAAAAACCCTGAGGCAGAAGTGTGTGGATGAAAAAGAAAAGGTTGTGGGGGAGGGGAGAGGGTGAGGAGCAGGTCACTTGGGGGCTTTTAAGGATTGTAAGGCATTCATTACCTTTTTTTTCAGAGCGAAGTAAAGATGTATTATGAATTTTAAACATTGAAGTAACATGATTTACCTTATATTTAAAAGATGCACCCTTGCCACTATGATGCGAACAAGCTGAAGTGAGGGCCAAGAATAGAATCAGAAAATGATTAGTAAAGACTTTAAGGAGACGAGGGATTTACTTATTGCTCAATCTATTCAATAATTTGTAGGAAGAGAAGACACAACATAGCCCTTCATTATTAGCCATATGTAAATGTTATAATTCAATTCTACTATATGTATTATTATTATGCCTAATTAAATATTCAACAGATATAAATCTTATAAAATAAACCAAGAAATGCAATGTTTAACTGTACAAATACTTACATTAATTAAATTTAACCTAAATAAGTGATTTTTGTGGTTATTCATTTTAAAGTGGTTCAATTTTTATAGATCATTCTTTGTTTAAAGAAAAAAAACATAAAGGAGACTAAAGTTAGAGATCAATTTATGATCTATAAATTTATTATTGTCTGTCTTGAAATGTGTATCTAGGCATAGATGGCTCTTAAAAGAAGGTAACATCTTTTCAGAATTCAGGTTGCTTCTTTTTATCATCTTTTGTATCGAATATGGAGCACAGATCCCCCCTTCTCTGCTTCCTCTCAGCTACCTTGAACTCTGAATGGTTTCTTTGTGAAGTCCAGTGTTTCGCACAAAAGGAAACATTTTTATGTCGGCAGTGGCATTACCACATTATTATACAATATGATCTAGAAGCTGGCTAACATCTCAAGAGGAGTGAAGTTTATGCATGACTACTACGTAGGTGCTATAAATACTCTTTGATAAAACTTTAGGTCTATAATGTAGAGAAAAATGCATTCTATTCCAATGCAAAAATAGTAATAATGACAGATACATATGTATTAAATACAATATTTGCAAAACCCTGAAGGACTGAGAATTTTCCACAGTGACCCATACATGTCCCAGTCCCACAGGCATTCCTCCTCCAGGCTCTCTTGCACATGGCTTTGGCCTCCATTTTCCCCCGTGTTTAGTCCCCAGACTAGTCAAACAGTGGCTGCTAATTCGTAACAAAGACTCTTGTCCTCAAAACTAGCTGGATGCAGCCTCTCCTGCTGAAGCCCCAGAAAACATTTCACCCTCTTCCCCAGGGGCCTTGCGAGGCTTCCCATGCCTGATATTTTCAAATAAAAGCTCATACTAACAGTGCTCTGACTGATTTTCTTCCACAATCTTTTAGTCACCTTCCCTCCCCATCACATTGGCTTTGTAGAATTATTATTTTGGAGATGCACCTAATATAAAAATTAAAAAAAAAATAAATCTAGGGTTCTGTTTTGGATTAGAATGGGAATGAGACCTGTATTTTATACTTTTATAATTGCTTAGTGGTTTAATACCCTACATAAAATGCATAATATGTTGGTATCTCTAACAGAGTAAGTAATGGTACCTGGATACAAAACAAAGAAATGCACATTGAAGCATAGTGACTAATTACATTCCTGGAAATATAAGATTTGTATTCAGACAATATCCCCTTTTCCACTTGACAATGTTGAATGTTACCTAAGCCTTGTGCTCCTGGGAAATAACAAGGGTTAAGAAGTTCTCCCCACCTGTTAAGTTTCAGAAAACTGCTTAATGCAGAGACATCTTTTCCCTTATTGCTTTGATAAGAGTCAGAAAAACTCATGGGGCCCCTTGGTTTACCTAGGACAAAGCCAGTCACAGATCCTGCAAATTCAAAATCTGTGCTTCATGAGTGATTAGCTGAATTGTTTTGTCTCCATGGATCATCAGAACAAAACTTTTGATGAGCAGACATTGGTTAAGTTTCTCTCCTTCCTCCAAGTCCCTGAACTTGGACCCACCCTCAGCCTGAGACAGCACACAACCT